TGCATTTGTCGCTGGATGGTCCCTTTGGTCTTTGGGACTGAGAATGTGATGCCCATTTTTCCTAAGAACAAGCTGAAACGTGGAATCATCTGATCACAGTACACATTTTCACTTTTTGACTGTCTGAGATGAGCTCTGGCCCAGAGAATCCGGTGGCATCGCTGCATAGAATTGATGTATTAAATTTTTTTAATGCAGCGGTAGACTGTGGTAAATGAGAGAGATTTTCTGAAGTACTCCTGAGCATGTGGCTATATTTAACACCGCAGCATGATGGTTTCTTACACTGAGGGCTCAAAGGTCATGCACATTCACCTGAGGTTTCCTTCCTTGCCCTACATGTACTGAGATTTCTCTGGATTCCCTAAATCTTTTGACACTATTATGCATGGTAGTTGGTAAAAGTCCTAAATTCTTTGCAATTTTGCAAAATGTGATTTTTGATTTGTTTGGCACTTTTCTTTACTGGCAAAGACTGAGATGCTCCTTTTATACGATATATGATCACCTCACCTATTACCAAATCATCTGCTCATTGTGGACCGTTTCAAACAGTTTAACTTGGATATTCCACAACCTTTTCACTTTTATTTTGCTTCTGTTCCTTCTGTTTTTTGGAGTGCGTTGCAGCCATCAACATCAAAATTTGTTTATATTTACAAAATACATTTTTAAGCTGGTCAGTGAAAACATTGAAAATATTTTCTTTGTAATTTTGTCAATTAAGTAAAAGTTAAAGTGAATTAACAAACCACAGATTCTTGATTTCATAGAAATGACAATTTATGACAAGTTTGACAAGTTTAAGCTTCAAAAATGTTTCAAAGTTCTAAACTGAACTGTCAATCAAAAAAGCCAGGAGGTTACTTAAAGATGAAAAGTTCTGATCCTTAAAAAGATCTACTAGTAAAAGTACTAACTTTTTGTTAATCCCTTTACATTCTACAGGCAGCTTCATTCTCATTCAGGGATGTTAAAGGCATTTAATGAAACTTGGGTGAATCTCTTCATTGTGACCTTTCAGTCTGATCTCCTGCTTTGAGATCTTCACAGAGAAGCTCTTTATTCCTTCCCTATAAATCCCTGTAAAGGTCAACCATGACAAATGGAACCAGAAGAAAAATTATTATTTTTTTATTTACCACTCCTACATCTTTGTTTCCTCAGGGTCAATTCAGACACAGAATGGATCAATCTCTGTTTACCTGTTCTCTATTCATGCTACATTACAGGATCCATTTTTGCCTCAAAACCTATTAAACCTCTGTGACTTGTAAGTGGTTTCCAGAGGATTGTTGACCGATTCCTCTCATTCTTCATTTACAATTTCAAATTGGCCACCACTGATCCTGTTCGACCAGGCTGGGCTTGGTCTTGGAGCTGGTTTCAATTTCACTGAGGTATCATAGAAAGGTTTTAACTCAAGTGCCAGCTCTAGATGTTCATCCAGTATTTTTAGTCAGCAGTTCAAGATTGGCGATGAACGGTTGAAAGGAGTTACTGTGAAGAGAAAAAAATTACCTCATCTACTGGGTCTCCAGGGTTTCTATTGCAGCACTAAACATAAAGACACAATGAAGCCTACTGGCCTCCGATGTTTACCATGAGTGAGCACGTATGAGTGTGTGTAATGAGAGCAGTAATAGAAAGCTTCCTCCCGAGCAGCTCCCTGTCAGGCCTGTACAATGAAGTCATGATGGACATGAAGTATAACATCTAGAAACCCAATCCTCCTCTATCTGCTTCTCACTCATACACTGTATGTTGCATCAGTACGCGCTCCTGCACTTTTAATGCTGTCCTGACGGGCTGTCAACGACACAGAGATCACTATCAACACAGACAGGGAAGAGAGAGGGGGGGGGGGGGGAGAGAGAAGCATTCATACACTAGTGCTCTGTGTAGTAGATATGAAGACAAACATTGGATCTGAGAAACAAATGTTTATTTTTTTATTGAAAGCAAGCGATAATAATGGGAACCTTGATCAGAAGTCAATTTAAGAATGGGTGTTAACAAGCTTCCACAGGATGAACAACAGTTTAGGCTTTTAGAGGTGTACAGTTTGCATTGTTGTCCAGGGGACTGTTATTATTAGAGATTCAAAATATACAAGTTCCAAATCCGTTATCGGCCAATATTAGAGACCTTTTTTATGTTGGATATGTAATGTCATATTCAATTGGATATTCAATATGACACTTGACGTTAACTTTTAAGAAGATTAAATAAATAATTGAATAACACTGTTAAATGTAATCATTATCAAATCTATTCTATCTATCTATTTTCATACGGTACATTATAATGCTGTAGTGCCTAAATTCGATTAATTGATACTTTATTGATCCTTTACAGGAAATTATTTTTTTTCACAGCAGCTTTAACACACAAAACACAGCACCACACATAACAAATTCATTTATTAATTCATTTATATCACTTAAAATAACTGATTTTAGTTTTTAGTATATATATATTTTATAGTATATATTTTATTTGTAATATATTTAGACAAAGTTATAGAATTTTAATACTGGCCATTTATCAGTTATCAGCCAGAAGATGATTTATAAATTAATGAGCACCTTAACATAACTGCTAGAAGTTCAATATATGTGTGTTAACTAAAACTATTAAAAATGTTAACATGTTATATTAACAGATGAAAAGAAAAATGAAAATTAGAACCTAATAATAATAATACAACTAAAATGACTCAAATAAAAATAAAGCTAAATATAAATACTTAAAAGAAACTGATACTAATATTAAAACACACTGAATTTGGAATTAACACTGAATTTGGAATTAACACTGAAAAAAAATCCATTCAAAATATTTAAATAAAAAATATATTTTCAAAATATTCCAAATAAAACTAATTCAAAATATTAATAAATACTAAAATAACACTGCTGTGCAACCCTACCACGGTTAGTTGAGTACTCAAGCACTTGGAAGCAACAGCAAATGTTTTTCAACTTCAAAACATTTCACACTTGTTAGAATTAAGTAACAACAACACCAGCTTGTGATTGATTACAGTGTTATTTTTGATCGGTACCTTGTGGTCCAATTCATCAGCCAGAAGTTGTATCAACACTGTACATGATGACATTGAGCTCAGGGGAGGAACAGCTCAACACTCTGTCTGGAGAGGATTAGAGGGCGACACACAGGACGTGTTCTTCCTTTCAAACAGCTACATGCCACACAACCAAATGGAACAGAACACAGGGGTGTAGAGAGGTGTTCTTTATTTTTCAAAGAACTGTTTTTTGTTTTTTTTGACATCTTAAAATCTTGGTTTGAGACCCTTACAAACACCAGGATGCGCTGTAAGGAGGAGACTACCCAGTGGCGTAGCGTCTGGGTATGCAGGGTATGCAGGTGCATATGGGCCCGGGCAGTTTGGGGGCCCGCTGAGGGAGGGAACGAATAGAGCCCTGCATGGGCCCGGCCCTTGTCCAACAGCTTATGAGAATTCTCAGCCCGAGTCTGGATCCCATGTCTTTTTCTCTCTCTCTCTCTCTTCCCCATTACACAGCTATTAAAATAGTTCAGTTTTGGTTTTTAATGGCAAAATGGTCATGTTTCTTTTTGTTTCTTTATTAAGTTAATTTAGAAATATATTTGGAACATTTTATGTTTGTTAAATTCAAGTTTTTGTTTTTTAAAGGAACGACCAAGCGGCCAGTGGCAAACAGTGAGTTGAGCATAATGTTTGATCAATTTAGCTTTCTCAAACCAACACGACTTGTCTAAAATAAACAGACATAAAACACTTCATGCATTTCACAGTATTAATTTAAACATTTAACCTAGATAGATGAGCGCTGTTATCCAATCGTTTGTGCGGAGAGTGAAAGCTAAAGCGCGCTTTGCAGGACATGGAGGCGCCAGCGCGATCACTTGCATTTATTTAAAATTTTTTAATAACACTGGAAACTTAAAAATATGCCGTCATTTTTGCTCATAAAGGTAAGAGTATACATCATTCGGAACTGCAAAGGGTCTACTTTTATTTGTGTGCACTCACAATATCAACAAAACATTGTGCTTTTGTAAAATAAGGAAAACAAACAGGATGCGCTTTCTGTCGTCTCTGTCTTGAGCAGGAGCGCTTCACCGACATGATAAATATATCGATAGAATGCTTTAAATTACTATTTTAAAACGAAATAATTCAAATCGAAAACAAAAACTCTTTCATTATGTAATCCGTAAAGATGCATTTCTCTCTAAAGGCACGTCCAATGAGGAGATGGCGAGTCAGGTTGGTCAAATTCATTTTTGCAACACTGACTCAGAATACATTAGTTTATTAACAGATAATTCAAATATCCCCTCACAATTTTTTACTTTTTTTTTTTTTTGGGCCGCTGTGCCAAAATTGTGCCTGCATTAAGTAGCCTATACAGCAGCATTTTTGTGCCACGTTGAAAAATAACTAAATAAATAAAATTAATGTCATAATATTTTAAGAATAAAGTTAAAATTAAGATAATAAAATCATGTTATATAATGTGAAAATTCCACCCATAGGCCTACTCCTCCAAAAAATAAAAAGTCTGGGGCATCCGTCATTACGATAATAAAATCATGTTATATTGCGTGAAGTTAATGTGAAAATTCCACCAATAGGCCTACTCCGCCAAAAAAGTCTGTGGCATCCGTCATTTTTCACATTTAACATAAAAAACAGCAATAAAACGTAGACTTATTGACTTTTTTTTAAACTATGATCGATTCATGAGACATTCGTTTGTATTAAATTGTTCTGATTTTTTTCAACATACATTAAATTATTCATGTTTATTTTATGCTGTAAATATTAGAGAGGAAAATATCATTATGCAGCTTGAACTGAGGAGAATTATCTCACTACAAATTAAAGAGCGTAAAAAGACGTTTATTGTTTGTATTTTATTATAAAATTGACAGAAGGCTGAGACTTTGTAGTAACAAAGTACAAAGCTGTGATTATTGGATGGCTTGTGAATAGTCATGATTCACGTAACGTGTTAAAAGTTAAGTTAACCGTGTTGGAGCCCAGCAGATTAAATAATGGCGTAGATGGACCCACCACCCCCAAAGTACTTGGTTAATTTATCTATTGAGTACTCAATCAGACAAAATTACCAAAATATCCATCTCTAGAAATGACAGGGCTGGTCTGAGGTTAGAAATCCCTGGGGAGTGACTGTAGAGGATCAGAAGAAGGAACAAAAGAGAAGACATTACAGCCTGTATACTGTCAGATACACACCACCAAACTCACCACACACACACACACACACATACATACACTTGTTCAAATTTGGTACATCTGCTCTACTCAGACACTTACAGTCATCAAATACACAAAAAAAGATGGCTTCAATGGCTGTTTGAACTTATTTCCAGAGAAAGCATGTCATTTCAGATTCATAAGATAAGATAAGTGACAAGATGGTACAATTAACCCTAGAGGTCAAGAGTGTAGCATAAAGATTGACCAATAGATCTAAAAAGCACAAATTAACCTCTTGACTTCGTGCAAAAGTCCAAGCATCAAAGCTGCAGTGTTTGCTATGTTGCAGGAACATGAAGTACATAGTACATTTATTATTGTTATTTGTAAATTATTAAAAACAGAAGCCTTAGAGCCATCATCATTTCAGGTTAACGAAGTAATTTGGTAAACCTAAAGCCTAGCGTGACCACTGCTTTAAGGTTCTGTGTGTGATGTGCTGATTCAGGACATCAGGTGAAAGACACTAATGTGGTCCACACAACATTTGCATTTAGAAACGTTTATTCTGCAATTAGGCTCAGAAACCACTGGCACCTGCGCACACTCGCACACAGGCACAGCACATCCCACCAGAATCCAGAACATGTGCAGCAGAGTAGGTAGAAAATACCCTGAAATCACTGAAAATATTGCATCAAATCAAGCAACATCATAAATAGAAAATGATCATGGATAATCAAAGAAAAAACACCTACAGTTATGCTCTGCTAGAACAGGGAGAGGAGAAACACTGCAAAGAATCAACCGTCTGGATATTCTCAGCACGTAATGAAGCGTCAATCTGAGAACTGTGCTTCCTAGAGTGTAAATATGGAATAGCAAATAATTATGGTTTGTTTGTCCCGAGGAACTCAGAGCTAACAGAGCGAGCTCAGCTAACAAAGATGAACAGAGCAAGGAGATCAAGAGTGGGTCAAACCCATATATCACACTGATGAAACACTCTATCTATGATGAATAGTAACATCCTTTAAGTGATGGACAGTGGCAAATATATCACCTGGACCACCACAATTCATACCAAACCCTTAAACAACTACTACTGATCTTCTTAAAACTGATCTCAAAAGAGTTTGAGAGGATCCAATTCTCCATTCACCATTCCAGCAAGAGAAAAAGCCACAGGTGAAGGGATCCCTGGAAGGAAGAAATGGAAATGAAGGAAAGTGGTTAAGGAGGGAGAGAGAGAGACATACCGGTACTTCATGCCGGTGAGCTTGCCGGTGGACTCTTTGAGGGAGATGTGGTGGCGTGGGGTAAAAGAGCCAAAGCTCCGGGCGATGATGGCGACCGTGCGGAACTTTGCCCGTGCCGCATTCACCACGTTGGGGCTGGTGGCGTTCGTTTTTCCATGGTCCCCATTTCGACCCTTCAGATTGTGGTCTGTGCAAGCGATTGAGACCTGCATGCTGGATGAGGAGGATGAAGAAGATGCAGTCTACAGCACAGAAAGGACACACTGAGGGATCATGCGGGGGTCACAGTCCCGACCTTCCTCCCTGATCCCGTCCTGTGGATACCGTCAAAGCAGCAGCAGAGAAACTGCATCATTTAAAGCGCTCTCTCCCTTCCTTTATCTGCCTCGCTCTCTTTCTTTTCCAGCGTATCGCGCTCTTGCTCCACTGCTGTGGAGCGTAATGTCTGTGACACAGACCAAGCGCAATGTTTCGTGTACCTGTGCACACATGAGCTCAACACCCTTTCAGTGCTAAGCCTAAAACCAACGAATGCTAAATTGAAAGCTGTTAAAAGATCTTTTGAAGGTTATCAGTGAGGTTAAAAACATATTCAAGCCCTTTAAAGATGAAGTGTGTAATTTTAGGTTAAAATACTTCCTTGTGTCACAGCTAAATATGCAAAAGCAACTACAAATAAGATATTTGTTGACTGATTACTACTAAGGTTGGGTACCAAAACCCGTACCTTTATGATCGGTATGTACCAGACCGAATTAGAATGCAGATTTCAGTGCCACTTAAATGCCTGAGCTGTTAACTGATTATTCACCCTCTGGTGCTCCAAAACACATGTAAGAAGCATCATCAGTGCACATGATCGGTAGTTAAATTATACTGCATTCATGTAGTGTCAGAATAATTTGAAAAATAATTTCCCATCTGAAAAAAATCACGAGAACGGAATTCGGAAATCTCTGATAATACAAATCCAACATCTTTGTTGTAACTTTAGTGTTCATGTTGTTTTCACATTCCGATGTGATTTCCTGGAACGTCATGAGTTCTATTAGTTCTGTGATGCATATGTGGAGTTTCTGCGCAAGGGCGCCCTCCATTGTCCAATATGAGTGAAACAGCCATTACGTATATTTATAGCACTCAATAATTGCCAATCCATCCAATTTGGGGTAAAAATATGAAAAATAATACTTCTCTTAAAAGAAATTTGAAGCAGATATATGATAATCCACGTTTTTCTTCAGTGTACAGGAGTTTTTTTGTTTTTTTTTAAGTATCGGTTCAGGCACCGGTACCATTTTAAAAGTATCTATTTGGCATTGGTATCAAAAAACCCAAACAATAACCAACCCTAATTACAACACAAAGTGTAGCATTGTGGCACTATCAAAACATTGGTCTGTTTGTTTAAATATCCCAACCAGCAACACTGACTCAACTAATATTGTCAGTTTAAGGCAGAATTATCTGTTTGTTCAACCAACTGCAGATGGGAGGTTTGTTTAGGAAACCTGTTTGAAAAAATAAAAATAAATATTCCCTACATCCAAATTAAAATTCATAATCCTCAATATAACAGCAAAAAAACCTTTTGCAAACTACCAGAATAGTTTGTGGAAAATATGTGGAAGACTTTATACTTCCACCAAGAAAAGTGCACATCTGATTTACACGGGGGGGGATGTAAATGGCATGATACAAATAATATTGAAGGTTTTTTTTTTTACAGTTGCAAAGTTCCTATTATGCAAGGAATGAGGTATAAAGGTAATTGAAGAGTTGTATTAAATCTAAACAATGTTGGCAGCACTTTATTTTACAGTCATGTTCCGCATGTGCATACTATATACTTCTTATAGTAATTATAATATAATAACTGTGTAATATCTAGGTAGTAACCCTGAACTTAACCCTAAACCTAATCCTAACCCATGTAGTTACCTTATATTAACCAGTACTTTCTGTTAAGTACATGTACTGTAAAATAAAGTGGACCTGCACTGTTTTTCAATGTGACTAACCTTAAAACAATAAATGTATCGCTTCAACGTCTAATTTATTTGGTGTTATGTAGATATTTGTGTAAAGGGGGTATATTCAGCACAACACAAACCTACAGACCTGCACACACATATATAATCAAACAAACAGCCAACATACACATTTGAGACAAATGAAAGGAGACATGACAGTCTCTGTTATTAATTAGTATATTAGCTACTTTGAGTCAGTTGACACTATTCTGACCTCATTTAAATCCATTACAAATCAATTGACCTCTGCTTGAGTGCTGGAGTGCTAATTGAAGCTCCCGATCTGGAATCACTCTAATATATGACTCCCCAGTACCTGTACAGTATTCTTAGCATTACCTAAAGTTCTTTGGGGACAATGTTTCCCTTGTAAAGTTGGATGTTACTGCTGAGCTTGTTAGCATCCTGACAGTGTAAAAGGAAATGAGACTGAAGGCAAAAAAAAGAAAACCTGGGTGCCTTTAACCAGTCAAGTACCCCCTGCCAAAATGCCTTCAACTGCAATCTTCAGCCCTTTTCCACCTCTTATCAGTAAATTTTACTGATCGATATGAGATCACACTCACACTTAGTGCAGTGTTGTTTTCACATGCTTGCCATTAAATCTTTCCGCTATAACTGTGGGTCTCAAATCAATACTGATCAATGGAGCAGTGAAAATTTTATGACTCTTACCATTCGCCCAAAGTTGCTCATTAAACCAGGAAGCTCTACAAGATTACACCTAGAAACGCAGTACCCGGCCGTGTCTATGGAAACCACTGCGAGTGGAATAGTTTCTATCAAAATGTTTCCACAAAAGGCTAATTTTTTTCACAGTAGCAGCAGTTACATCTGTTTTATTGCTCTGTAATAGTAGTCCGCTAAGCTTCAAACTGTCTCTCGGTTTCTCGCCCTCTTGTTCTTCTTCAGGATCAAGCGTGTTAACTGCTAAAAACTTATTGCGATTAACATGTGAACGAGTGCCATCACAGCGCATCTAATTTCTCAGATCCAATTTTTGCCGCCCCCACGAATCACAGAACAATTACTGCACAGGCCAACAACCTCAACTGTGTCCCAGTTTTTTCTGGATTGTTCTTTGGGCTATACAACACCCTTTTGAGCCATTTTGGCACTCACATATGAGCGTTGGCTGGTGGCTCCAATGTTTCTGCATGTGATACATGGTAATAGCAGGACATATTTGAAGAGAGGCGCAATTACAGATGAGGCACATTAACCACTCATGCTGTGGACCACTGTATTCAAACATTCAGTTAAACATACCTGCCACTCTCCTGATGTGCTGCACTCCACAGACCATTTCACACCATAAATACTCAATCAGTAGCTGAGCGTCCAGGTGTACGTGAGTTAGAGGACTTCTTTTGAGTTGTGTGGGGGTGGTGATTCTCTACCAACCACTGAAAGACGTTCTACAATAGTGTTTGATTTGCATCAGAACCTGTACGACAATGGTGATAATTACTATGCAAGCAATAGAGATGGCATCAGAGACATGGCAACACAGTATGACGAGATCCCTCTGTCCTCTCCCTGACCTCAACAGCACTGACATATTTGACCTCTCTGCTAATGTGATTGGGGAAAGACTTTTTTTCACTGGAGAATAAAAACTTAAGCTTGAGTTCTGATTGCTCGAAAATGCATGTTCAAAAATGGACTTATGGGAAAGATGTAGAAGAAATTAAAAGAAGGCAAGTTTACAGAAATTTTCCCACAGGAAAAGCCATTTATTTGCCATGGAGCTTTTTTGAGTCTATAATGTTTATACTTTGGCAAATATACAGTGTTTCCGAGAAGTATTTTGTAACCACACTAAAACAATGTTGTTGCAAGTGGAATTTATTTTAAAGAACGTTTTTTTTTCAGTAAATCACAGAAATATTTTCCTCAGTTTTAAAAGATAAATCAAAATGCAAACTTTTGAATAATTCTGACAAAATATACACTTGCATTCAAAAGTTTGCCCTTTTTTAAAGAAATTAATAGTTTAATTCAGAAAGGATGTTTCACACTGAGAAAGGTAAGGTTTTTACACTATTACAAAAAAAAATAAAATTAATAATTTTCAAATAAATGCTGTTTTTTTTTACTTCCTGTTCAAAGAATCCTAAAAATTAGGGCATCTCCACAAAAATATTAAGCAACTGTTGTCATCACTGATAATAGGTATTTTTTCTTTAGCACCAAATCAGCATATTACAATGATTTATGAAGGATAATGTGACACTGAAGACTGGAGTAATGACAGCTAAAAATTCAGCTTTGCCATCACAGGAATAAATTACAGTTTAACATATATTAAAACATAAAACGATTATTTTAAATTGTAATAACATTTCAAAATATTACTGTGTTTTTGATCAAATAAACTGATTAAACTGTGGGCATACAAGACTTGTAAAAAACATTTAACCTCAAACTTTTAAACAGTATATTATTTGCGCACGTTTTGTCTGTAAAATTGGAATGTGTTAAATCACATAGTTAACGTGGTATTCCTTTGTGTTAAAAAATATATAAACAATAATAAAATGTACACGTAAGTGTGACTTAAGTGTCCAAATACTTTTAGAGCAATGCATTTGCACAAGAAATCACTGACTATGGATGCTTAAAACACACAAATGACAATTTCTTTTCCACTCTGTTGCTAGCATCTTTGGTTGTAGTCACCTTGATCTCATTTTTGAGAACGGATTAGGAATCCCAGGCAATTTCGTTCTCAAGGTTGATACAGCCATGCAGTCAAGCCAAGACCTTGCACAGAGACACAACAACTAACAGAATGTGAATGTGACATAAGTCTGAAATGACAGCAAGGCAAGGGACAACCTGCCCTCTTTCTTGTGCATTTAAGGAAAGTGAATGTAGAACCCATGCAATCATGTATCACTCATGCAGCATATCAGGTTTGATGCATGAAATGAAAGGTTATACTAGAGTAAATGACTGCAGTTATTTTTTTAACACTGCTACTTGACCAATACAATACGATGACATCTTGTTTATATGTATGTCAATGAACTATATGTATGGCAATTTCACCTGCACCGGCATTTCAAATAACCCTTAGAGGGACACCATTACATAACCCTGGATGCCGTCAGTATCCCTGGTGTCTGAAAAGCCTATTTATTTCCAGACACCCATACCTCACTGCTTGACTAAACTAATGAGATTACGGAGTATATTTTCAAGCTTGAATAATTAAAAACTCCTGGTGTGATCCCAAATGCTGAGGCACTATTGGCTTTTCTGCATTCCCAAATCAACAGGGACCACTGGGTATATT